GAACGTGCTGCTTTGGATTTTTAGGTAAAAGCTGGTTCAGTGAAACAGGAGTTTGAAAAGCAGGATGAATTGAAGCGCTCAGCAATGAGAGCGGTAGCTGCTCTCCTAACAATCCCTGAAGTAGAGAAAAGTCCAGTGATGGCTGAATTTTCCTCTCAAATCAGAGCCAATCCTGAAATGGCATCACTTTTTGAAAGCATTCAGAAGGATTCTGCCTCCTTATCCACCACAGAATCAATGGACATGAGTTAAGATTCTCCTGTTTACTCCCATCGCCTTCCTATCCTCATAATGCGTTAATGTAACAGATCCTTCATAGCCAGGCTAAGGAAGAATGTCATCGAGCTGGTCTCAACCGCAACAGCCACTGCAAGTCATTGCGTGCTGATATGAGAAAGTGACTGGTTCCAGCTGCACATGCAGGAGTCGGATGTCTCACTGAATTGTAACAAGATCTATGAGTCCAGGAAAAGTATGCCCTTATGTAGGGAATGGAATGAAAAATGAGAGTATATTCATTTGTCAGCAAGTTATTAAAGGGCATACAAGGCAATCTAAACTTAACATGGTTTTAGGAAAAAATGAGACCATTTCCTGCAATGCTTCCCTACTGCAGTACAAAGAAAAGTAGTTGTAAAGGTGTGTGTTTTTTTTTTTTTTAAGCCACTGCACATGCACTTTCTACCCCAAATTGTCTGAAGAATGTTTCTATTGTTTCACTAAATAACATGGCTAAAAATTGTAAGTCATGTCTTTAATTGGTGATGAGCATCTCATCCCAATTTTAAAAAAGAGACCGGGCTGAAGAACTAGCTAAGCTGCATTGAGAATGTTCCATGTAGGCCTAAATTCACAGAAGGTGTGATATTGATATTTTAGTATTTCTGTGGAGTTAGGGTGATTAAAAAAAAACCTTTCAGTCATGCTTAACTGCCATTATTACAGTTTTGACTGTGCAAAATACCTCACTCAGCTGTCTTCCAAAAGAGATTGTCTTGATTGCATTACAGGAACTACTTTGCCACTGAATTTTTCTTTACATTCAACAAGGGGGTGGCTGCTTCCTTTTGAGCAGCTCAGTGTTTCTAGTGCACAAGCAGCCACCTGCACACAGTCACACACCAAAGCACTGATATATTCTGAACTTCAGTCATGAAACAAAAAACACATTTTTTTTTTTCCAAGAAAGCTGGTATTCAATATCCTAGTGTCATAACACTAAAACAGGTGAAGGTAATTAACTAGCATTGTAAGAATACAAGCACTCCACGCTAACTTTTATAATTTAAAACCTTACCCTAACGTGGCTGCCTTGTTCAAATTCTGCTTTGCACAGGGGGAAAAAAGCCTTTTAAGAGACATGAGCGAATGTAATGGCAAATTAAGAGCATGAGGCCACCATGACACCCTTCTTGTAGCCATGGATTTGTAATAAGCTTTCATTTTTCTCCGTTTTTGACAGAGTGGTTGATGTGAAAACTATTTATAGTGCAGTGTGAAAGAGCATCTGTTCTGTTCGAGTGGTATCCAAAAAAAATAAACTGTATGTATGAAGCTGCGTGCGTTCCTGAATTCCTTAATGATCACACTGAAATTACAAATGGCTGCCAGTGGCTTACAGAACAAGGGAAAGACAGATGAGCTGACTTGCCTTAGGCTTTACTAAGCCTTCGGTCCCTGAAGTAGACTAATCACCCTGGGATATAGCCCTAGTCCCGCTTTCTTAAGGGTTTTTGGCAGCATGTCTAAAAGGAAACAAGCACCTGAATCAGAGCAAAAGATACTGAATGAAGTGCACTGCTTTAAGTCTAATGTTAGGCAGTCAGGCACAAAACAGAGGTTGCAACTGGATTTCCACACTGCTGCCTGCAGAGCTCTTCAGGAGAGCTGCTGCCCTGGTTGCAAACAGGTGCAAAAGCAGTCTTTGCCTTTGGCGATTCAAAACAATTCACTACAGTTTGTTTTTACTCTTTATTAAATACATCTCAGCTGTAGAAGCCAGTTTATTCGTTTTCTTCACTGCGCAATCTGGCATTTGGATTGGTGATCTTGATTGCAAGCTGAGCTGCTCTCTCCACAATTATCTTCCGGTTCTTAGAAGACACGTTGTGGGCAATCTCTGCGCAGTATGACCTATCGGAAATAGATCATGGGTGTCAAGCTTACCTCAAACCAGTGTTCTGGCAGCAGAGTAGACAAGTCATCCAGGAGGTGCCCTGTTGTCAGGGGTCAGAAGCAGCAGAATATGCAAGTTCTGCTGCACCCAAAAAGATGACCACATGCTTCATATTCCCATACCCGACTCAGCTCTACCACTCTGTTCATTTTCTTGCAAACGAAGAGACAGAAGAGAGAGTTTTTAATGGGGTGCCCCCCCCCCAAATCATTGCTCCTACCCCTTTCCTTTGAAAGAATGAAGTGCTACAAGCAGATTGCTGTAAGTAGATCTAGACCTACGTGTTAACAGATATGAAACAACAGTTCTGACCATTGTTTTAGCAAGATGGAGGTATAATGCTGTTACCACTGGTTTTAACATATTAACATAGCATGTTAGCCAAAACGTCCAAGCCTGCCAGCCCCTGGGAAGTCACCTGTACGCAACTGCACCGCCGCAGAAGATAACCCCCTGCAGCACAGAAGCATGAAGGAAACCAACAAGACCTTCCTGTTCTTCGGGGCAAACGCTTCCCTGGTCTTCTGCCCACAGTTCTGCCCCCTCAAGGCTCCACACTGCCTTTTTTTGTCCCATTAAGACGGGAGCTGGCGCATCTAGCGGCGGCAGCACAGAGCCAAGGCAGACCGCGCGCCCACCAGCAACGGTCCCAAACAAGTAAGTGGAGTACTTAAAGAGGTCTGTGAACTTACTTGTTACTCATCATAAGCACCTCAAGTTCTTTGACGTTGTGGACCAGAAACTTCCTGAAGCCTGTGGGCAGCATGTGCTTCGTCTTCTTATTGCTCCCATAGCCAATGTTTGGCATCAAGATCTGACCCTTGAACCTCCTGCGAACCCTGTTGTCGATACCTCTTGGTTTACGCCAGTTGCGCTGCAGAAACACAGGAAGTACTTAATACCCAGTTCTGAAAACAAAGCAGTCTGAAAGCGCCTGCACTGAGGAAACTGCTCCCGTCAAAACCAGATCCCTCCCAAAGGATCCATCCCACCATGCTGTTGTAACATGGTCCGTTATTGCAAATGCTTGATCTTTATGCGCTAATGCATCACATAAATCCTAAGAGCAACCATGTTTCATTTTCCCAGAATTCATTTTCTGGTTAATTTCAAAGCACTTTCTACCTTGATCTTGACATAGCGATCAGACTGATGGCGGATAAACTTCTTGGTCCTCTTCTTGACGATTTTAGGTTTCACCAGAGGTCTGAGGGCAGGCATGGTGCCTAAGAAAAAAAAGCGCAAGCGTGAGGAAAGAAATACAACACAGCGGTGGTCTGTTATCGCAGTCATACCTGTAGCAGACTATCTTCCACTCACTAGCCACTTTTAAAGCCAGCAAGGGAATGGGTATTCCTCTGCAGTGTCTTTCCCTCCCGCTTCCGAAGCTGGAAGAGCACTGCAAGCTCTCCAGATGCGATCCTGGGAGGTCGCGCCTCGCTCGGCCACGTCCAACATCGCTGCCCTTACCCGCGGTACTCGCAAG